AAACTAGAACCCAAATACACTGCTGATAAAATGGAAGAATAGTGCTGCCATTTTGGAAAACAGTCTGGCAGTTCTTCCAAAAGTTAAACATAGAATTATACCCACATGACCCAGTGGGTATATTCACTGCTAGGTAATTACCTGAGAGAAATGAAAACGTATGTCTACACAAAAACTTGTACATGATTGTTCATAGCAGTATTATAACAGCCAAAAAGTAAAAAATATCCAAATGTCCACCAACTGATGAATGGATAAATAAAATATGGTATATCCATAATATGGAATATTATTTCCCGAAGTTTCCTGAAGTACTGTTATGTGCTACAACATGGATGAACCTTAAAAACATGCTAAGTGAAAGAAGCCAGTCACAAAATCCACACACATTGTATATGATTCCACTTATATGAAATATCCACAACAGGCAAATCTCAAGAAACGGAAAATAGACTAACAGGTTCCAGAGGAGTTGGTGGGTGGGGGCGGGAGGAAAATGGGGAGCCACTGCTAATGAGCATTGGATTTCTCTTGGGGGAGATAAAAATGTTTTAAAATTGATTGTGGCTATGGTGGTGCTCTGTGAATATACTGAGATCTGCTGAATTCTACACTTTAAATGGATGAATTATATGATATGTGAGTTATATCTCATTGAAGCCGTTATTTAAAAAGGGGAATTACGAGGGGCCGGCCCGTGGCTCACTTGGGTGAGCGTGGTGCTGACAACACCAAGTCAAGGGTTAAGATCCCCTTACCTGTCATCTTTTTTTTAGAAAGGGGGGAGGGATTATAAAAAACAAAAACCAATACTTTGCTAACAAACAAACAAGCAAACAAAAAGCCTTTTCAAACTTAATATACCTCATGTGTCATCCGTGTATAAGCTGGCAATTTAGAAGGGGGACATGCAAACTGAACGCATGAATAGCATTTATATGTCTGTTGTCAAAATAGTAAGTAGAGGCACACACTGGACTCCTGGCCATCCTTCCACCAGGACACTGGGCTATGTGAGTCCAATCCTAGGAAAGCATTGTCTCTGAAAGTGAGTAGATGTTTTCTCTCATAAGAAAACAGAAACAGTTGAACAGCATTTATTATTTTTGCATTGACTGCCAGGAACGTTTACCGCAAATTCAGAGCCAAGGTGTGATAGCCATCTGTGACTCTCTGAAGCGTGACCGTGTCCACTCTCCTTGCGTCCACACAGGGACTCGATCGCCACTTTGCTTGTTTGGGTTGGTTTAAGCTGAGCTGATTTCAGCCCTCCTACATAAGCTATCTCTCGCCTTGGGGCGAAATCTGACCAGAACAACATGAAGTTGTTTGCAGCGTGTATTGATTTTTACTTGGCTGATGGCCCAAGGGACCAAACTAATGAGGACTCATCCAGGACTCAACAAATTCCATTATTTGCCTATTATTGTCACAACTCCTGCTAAATGTAATATTGTTACTTACATATTATTTCTCTTTAAATCAATTTTCCTTTTTTTTTACTTAAGTGTATTTATGGACATAAAGCAAAAGTCAGTATCTCTTGCCATAAGGAGAAGGTCGCTCTTAGAATTAAACCCAGTAAAAAGAGAAAGTTGTTTGTTCTAACTAGATACTGTTGACTGACAAGATTCTGAGCCTGAGGCCTCATTGTTAATCTGGGAGATTAGCAAGGGTTAGAGAGATGTGAAGGACCTGTTAGTACCAGGCTGAAACTTTCTCCTTGACTAAATCAGAACGATTAAGTGAGAAGAGAGAAGGGTAGATGTCAGAGAGGCCGTCTGTTTATTTCTTCCCCTTATGGAAACCTAAGGTGCCATTCACCTGTTAGGCCTTGGGGTGCTGGGATATCTAAAACAGGTGAAGCCTCTGTTCTTTCCAAGTTCACAGTTGTGGTAATAATGTATAAGAATGCAATAACATGAGACACCTTGCTCAGTGCCTGGGTCATAGTAAATACTTTGATGTTGATCTTATAGTGATTATTATAATAATGATTATTACTTTATTTCAGAGCAGGGAATGTGCCCTCTGGGGAAAGTAGGAGGTTGAGTTAGTCTGTGAATGTCCATCTTATAGCCATGATGGCCCAGGCAGGCACATGGAGCTTGATTTCCATCAGAGACCAGAGGCAGTGGAGTCAGAGGAACAGACCCTAATGGTTTGGCCAGGATTCCTTTTAGGGAGGGAAGGTGAGGATGTTACTATGTTCGAAAATCAGGTCAGAGCAAACATGCTTGGGCAAGTTTAAAATCTCTGCTTAGAGGGCCAGCCCGGTGGCACACTGGAGAGTGCGCCGCTTGGGAGCGCGGCGGCGGCACTCCCGCCGAGGGTTCAGATCCCATGTGGAGACCGGTTTCCGCTCACTGGCTGAGCGCGGTGCAGGCGCGACACCGAGGGTTGCGATCCCGTTGCCGGTCAGTAAAAAAGACAAAAAAAGGAAAAAAACAATAATAAAATAAAATAAAATCTCTGCTTAGATATGAAGATTTGACATTGTACGTTTAGCTAATCAGTGGAGCTCTAGGCACTGTGCTGGGCACTGTTAGGGGAGCTTGCAATCTTATG